ACACTTGGGTCACAACAACCCCGTGCAGCGCTATAGGCTTGAGGGAAGAGTGGCTGGAGAGCTGCCTGGCGGAAAAGGGGGTGTTGGTCAACAGCTGGCTGAATATGAGCCTGCAGCATGCCCAGGTGACCAAGGTGGCCAGTAGCATCCTGGCCTGTATCAGAGATAGTGTGGCCAGCAGGACCAGGGCAGTGATCGTGCCCCTGTACTCAGCACTGGTGAGGCCGCACCTCGAATCCCGTGTTCAGTGTTGGGCCCCTCACTACAAGAAGGCTGTTGAGGTCCTGGAACGTGCCCAGAGAAGGGCAAACGAAGCTGGTGAGGGGTCTGGAGAACAAGTCTGATGGGGAGTGGCTGAGGGCACTGAGATTTAGTTTGGAGAAAAGGAGGCTGAGGGCAGGTCTTATTGCGCTCTACAACTACCTGAAAGGGTGTTGTGATGAGGTTGGTCTTGGTCTCTTCTCCCAAGTAACTAGCGATAAGACGAGAGGAAATGGCCTCAAGTTGCGCCAGAGGAGGTTTAGGAAATTGTCTATTAGGAAAAATTTCTTCATCAAAAGGGCTGTCAGGCATTGGCACAGGCTGCAGCAGGATCTTCATACTTCTTTCAGTCACCCTCTGAAAGAAGAGTCCTTCTCCGCTCATTGTTCTTTTCTAGTTACTGATTTCTTAGTCATCTTACTGAAAGGAATTATCTATGATGCCGTTAAGCCTCCTCTTCTGGCTTGCAAGAGCTTAAAATAGCACCGTGACTTTTTTCCTGTTGTTTTGAACCAGTGACCGTTCTGATATCGAACTCCCTGTTTCCCCAGCCAGGTTTGTCTTTGTGGTTGTTCCTTTTATACTTACCTGGGAGCAATTACTTGCTTCTCTGGAGTTGGGAGCATAATCACCTCCCCAGAGGGAGAAGCCTGTGTGTTGTAAAGGATAGCCAGAGTTGTTTTGCGATGTGCTGTCTTCTGTCTCACTCTGTTCTCAATGTGCTGAGCCTACGTTGACAACGCTGCCCTTTGCAAATGCATTCTAATCGGACACGAACTTCATCTGCTATCCTGGGTTGCACCGCTCTGTACTCCCCGCTTCTTCCTTCCCCAAACTCAGCTTCTAAAGAATTAAAACTCTAAACGTGCTTTTAACTGCCTTTACCTCGCTCACTGCTTCACTGTTGCTTGGATTGGATTCTTTTGAGGCATAAGCACTGTTTCTCTCGTGTTAAAAGGCAGCAATAATTAGAGATGTAATCTGAAAAGATGAGCCCTGTGATTCTCAGGAATATGCGATATTACAGAATTACACTAGAGTCCCTTTGGCTAATTGTTTCCAGAAAAGTAACTTAGCTTTCTCTTTCCAGTAAGGCAGCTGAGACCCTGCTCTGAGATTTCCTTTCCCAGTCTCCAAAGATCAATCTGGGAAATGAAGCGTAGGCCTGGAAGAATTACAAGTCACTTGACAATATCCAAGTGATTATTCTGTCTAGATTTTCCAGATTCATGTCTGGAGTAAAGGAGGAGTTAATTCAGAATTCAGTCTAAAGGGAGATGCTTCTGTCTGAAGACTTGAAAAAGCGAGATTTGCTTGCCTTAATTATGCTGTTTTCTCATCAGTAGATGCTTGTGCAACAGGCCAACACTTTGCTTTTCTCCTGCAGCTTGGCAACAAATACTGTGGTGCAGACATACAACACTGGCCGTCCTGTCTGGAGCTGCTGCTGGTGTCTCGATGACAGAAACTACATCTATGCTGGATTGGTCAATGGCTCTATCATGATATATGATTTGAGACACACAAACTCTCATGTCCAGGAACTAGTCCCTCAGAAGTCCAGGTATGGCATAAGGATTTTTCATTCCTTTCAACACTAATGTACATTCAGCTAAACATAGCTTCTTCCATAAATCACATGGCAATTGTAATAGTTTAAGTTGTTTTAAAAAGTTCAAATTCAAAGTTGTTTGTTCAAAAGTTCAAATTCAGCACAGATGCGAGAGGTCTCTCATAAGGTTGCATGGTATATGTATAACGTAGTACGTGTGCTTGGCACCTATATCTTTTTAAGGCACACGGTGGTCAGAAATGGACCCACCGGTGCAGCCTAAGCAGGAAAACGGGATTTGTTTTGAAGCTGGGTTTGGTATTTAACTTGGAAAGGACACTAACGCTGACTTTGGGCATCTGCCTCTTAATGCAACATCTACTCAAGGAATCAAATGCTGATTTACACGCATCTGGTGTATGTATTTAACTTGGAAAGGACAAATTACAAAGAGGTGTGAGAGGCTGGTCTTTCCATCTCTTCTACTCAGGGAATCAAATGCTGATTTACACGCATCTGGCATATCCTGTGTGATGCTCCTTTAAAACATAAGGCTCCGTAGTTAAGTTGAATTGCATTTATTCTTGATGAACGCGTTGGGGTTCCTTGCTTGAAGGAAGGAAGGGCTTGAAGAAGGCCGTAGTTAAGTTGAATTGCATTTATTCTTGACGAACGCGTTGGGATTCCTTGCTTGAAGGACTGTTTTGTAGGCTGCTTAGGCCCTTTCTTTGCAATGTGGTTGGAGAGGCCGGAGTCCTGAAGCGGTGAGGCAGAACGCCAGCATGGCTGCAGCTGGCAGCACTGACTCTTGCCCACCACGCTTTCAGGTGCCCCATGGTGTTGCTGTCCTATCTGCCCCGGATGGCCTCAGCGTGGCTGCAGCTGGCAGCACTGACTCTTGCCCATCACGCTTTCAGGTGCCCCATGGTGTCGCTGTCCTATCTGCCCCGGATGGCCTCAGCATCACTGCCCTATGGTGGAATATTAGCTGGGACCTTGGAAGGAGCCTGCTTTTGGGAAAAGAAAGCTGGCGACTCCTACCAGCCTCATCACCTGCCGCTGGAACCTGGAGGATGCATCGATATTCAAACAGAGATCAGCACACGACACTGCCTTGCGACATACAGGCCTAGTATGTAACAGCGTACATCTGCAACGCACTCTGCCACTCTGGCCAGCTGCTGTTTGAGTTCAGCGGCAGCTTGAGTGCTGAGGGCGCAGCAGAACTGCAGTACTGCCCTGGCCAGAGCAATGAGCACCTGTGCGTAGAAAAGAATTGGGTGAGGGCAAAAGGAGGAAGCTGCAGGGTGGTGTTGCTTGTATTCCTACAGTTAAAACTTGTCCGCAATTAAAGTAGAAAAGAATTGGGTGAGGGCAAAAGGAGGCAGCTGCAGGGTGGTGTTGCTCGTATTCCTACAGTTAAAACTTGTCCGCAACTAATTTTTCCAAAGGTTACCTCTTTATTTCTGCTGCGCAGGTAAAAATAACACGTGCGTGCGTTGTGTGATGATGGAACTGACCTGCAGCCCGCTGACAGAGGCCTCTGATGATGTGGTGTGTTCTTCTAACCCGGTTCAGACTTTCAGCGCTGGGCCCACCTGCAAGTTGCTGACCAAGAATGCCATTTTTCAGAGCCCAGAGGAGGATGGCAGCGTCTTTGTGTGTGCTGGTGATGGGGCATCTAATTCTGCCCTGGGATCTCTCGTTCCTTTCAGTGTGGTGGAGGGTTTTCTTGCAGTTCTTAGGAGAGAAGCCTTCTCAGTGTGTTTTGGTGGGAGCTGTCTTGTCACAAACGTTCCCCTGTGCAGGTTGGTCTGTTGTGCTTGCTGTAGCAGGTGTAACTTTGTGGTAGTGCGGGACACCCAAGCGAGCCAAGGCCTGCAGGCCACAGCCATTGAGAGGAGTGCAGGTAGTGAGCCCCTGTTGTCCACCAGCAGAATGCACCTGGGCACGCTGACACAACTGGGCACTCACTGGTGTAGCGGGCACTTGGTGGGATAGCTAATGTGGTAAGTGCTGTGAGGGGTGGGCGCAGGCTCTTTAGGAAGGGCAGGGGAGGTGGGGATACCAGGGGTTGCCCTTTATATGAAAAAGCAGCTCGGATGCAGAGGATGGACAACCTGTTGTCCACCAGCAGAATGCACCTGGGCACGCTGACACAACTGGGCACTCACTGGTGTAGCGGGCACTTGGTGGGATAGCTAATGTGGTAAGTGCTGTGAGGGGTGGGCGCAGGCTCTTTAGGAAGGGCAGGGGAGGTGGGGATACCAGGGGTTGCCCTTTATATGAAAAAGCAGCTCGGATGCAGAGGATGGACAACAGGCCGCATGGGAGCTCATGAGTCAGGGTCAGAGGAGAGGGCAGTCTGACTGTATGACATCATACTGGGTGTTAAAGACCACCCAGGCAGGCTGTGAAAGTAGACAAAGTGTCCTGTAAGTAAATTGAGGAAAGGCTTTTTTGTAGAGAGCAAGCTCTGTTTTGGACAGGAGGGGAGAATCCTGCCGTCTCTGACCTTGTCTGTCCCACAGCTATGGGATGCTGGAAGTGGCTCCTTGCTGCAGAAGCTGCAGGCTGACCTGCCCGGGCTAGATATCTGC